ATTTTACCAGAAATTAATAAATTACGGAAAATTTTAGTCACTATAAATTAATATACATGCATTGCAAATTAAATATTAAATATGCAAATTACATTGCAAAAATTAAAAATTAAATATTTTACTAAATTACCCAAAATTGAAAGAAATATAACTAACAATGCTGATGCTGCAAAATTCGTATAGATATCGTATTAAAATAAAATCGATCCAAAAAATATTGGATTTTATTATTTGATGTTATATTTATGCCATACTTCTGTCGTAACTGAACAATACCTTCGGCCATCTCTTCGATGGTATTTTCGTGTCGCATCATCACTGTTTCCAATTTCTCATTAAATCTATAAACCTATGAATTAAATAATTGACTCGCCGCAAGTTTCAGTTTTAGAAAAAGGCTCAATTAACCATAGCAAATCATTAAGTTGCAGGACTTTGATCACAATTTCTAAACGACAACTTTGAAATGACACAGTGAAATGAAGAAATGAACTTACGAACTGATGTTATCATCCGTTGGCTCAGCATTTTCAAACGGCAACAAATCTTCGAAACTTTGGTAAAATAATTTACATACATCGGTAGTAGAAGATAACTGAGGTAAATTTTGAAGTAATGAATCAATTTCCTAAAAAAATGCTCACATTTTCATTGGTAGTTGAAATACATTTAAGAAATTACTAGTTATAATCTATGCTTAAGGACTAATTTATCAATATTACGATCCAGATAAATATTTGTCGTTTTTCCTTTTTTTTTTTCGATTATACATCTATATATCGGATTACATTCCTTAACATCACATAAATCATGGTATTGGATTCATTCCATACTTTCTTTCATATGATGGAAATTATTATTTTTTTGTGATGTGCCAAAATGGTTGCACATTTGAATTCATTCAACAATTTTACTCAATGAAATTGTCATTTTATCACACTATAAGTAGCATCATAAGAAAAAGCAAACGCTAATTTTACCTTTGAAATATTAGCTAAACGAACAAGAAGTTCTTTTTGTAAGAATTTGAATGATATTTCCACAGTTCCCTCCTGTCCAAAACCCAAATACATTTTCAATGATATCGGATGTGGTCGAAAACGTTCATAATGCTTTAATTTTTCCACAACCATATGACCTCGAAATTGTTGTAACAAACGCCTTACCAAGCGCATTGATTACCTAAACAGCAAAAAGACTGCATGTTAATCTCATTAATATAATAATCAACCGATGGTATATGTCTAGGAAAGAAATTAAGTTGAAATTGTTGAAAGTGCATTCATCTGATTTCCCATCATCTTTCCTACTCTGTTTCTTTCGCTTCCTCCCTTTTTTCCTTTTTTTTTTTTCTGTTATTTATCTAGAATCTTCTACAGTTCTCAAAGTTCAGAGTTTGTTATTTTTTAGAGTCTTCTACATCTCCTAAAGTTCAAAGGTTTTAAAAGTAAGATTTTCTTAAAAGTAAGTAATATATAAACTGAAATTCAAATTAGATAAATTATATATTCTTATTTACTAGAAAATGTAAGGATCAAAGACTAATAAATTAGTTCAAATTAATTAGTGTAAAGAAAAAAAAGAAGAAAGATCTTTAAATTATAAATTTTCTACTTTCAATATCATTTTTTTTTTCATTTGCACTCGAGGTTAGCATAATTTTTAAATATCTCAATTCTAATTAAATTTCATGACAAGTCATCGATTTCAAAAACTAACTAATGACTATTCGAGAAAATCTAAATATAAAAGCAAACCACCAAAAACTTGAGAAATTATAATCTAACGAATTAAAATTAAAACTGAAACTAAAGCTGTAATGACAATACTTCTCCATTTTTGAATAATAAGGATTTCATTGTTATAATATGGAAGCAGCTAACATTATTATTAAATGCTTCTGCTTGTTATGGGTAATGAATAAAGAGCTAAAATTAGATAAAGAAAGAGTATTAATGGGAAACAAATTAGTACAAATCGTTTATCTTAGAATTTGTAATTAGCATATTTTTGGTATTTTAATTAATCAAAGAAAGAATACTATTTCATTATTTATTATTATTATTTTCTCTAGAATTTGTTTTATAGCTTGTACTTTATAAGTCATCTGAAATAATTTTTCGGACAAATTACTTTAATAACCAATAAAGTAGTGCAGCAAAATGTGCATTATTTTAGGAAGTTTGAGGCAAAAAATAGTTAATGAAAGTGTAGAAATGCTATGAGTTTATATGAGAGTTAACTGACACACTATGGATGACTGAAATTAATTCAAAATTTCATATTTAATTCAAGAAGTTTCGAAATTTATTTTTTTGAGAGAACAAGCAAGAGGTATGAATTAAGTTTTCTACATCTTTATGGAATACAATAAGGATTTCATTGTTATAATTCTGTTGCTTAAAAGTGGTCAAAACAAAACTGAAAAGGAGATCATTGAATACTAAAACTTCCTTTAATATTGTCAATAAGTAAGAAACAATAAATAAATAAATAAATAAATAAATAAAGTATATAAATAACTAATATATATATATAAGAATAAGAGTAAAGGACTGACATGGTTTGGAATGAGTGCAATCGGTAAATCCTGAAAACGTACCCATTCAAATTTCACAAGAGAAATGGTATTTCTGGTATTTTTGCTAATCACATTCGAGAAAAATGTTTCATGAAAAATACTAAGTGAAAAACGGGATGTGAAGTGAAGAAATACCCATGGGAGGATTTTTGTTTGAAAAGCAATTACTTTAAAGTCTAAAAAGTAATTATCAATTTAAAAGTTTTTTGTTTGTCAATGATGCGAAAAAGAATTCCCATTTCTTGATTTCTCAGAAAAGAAGATACGAAAAAGGAAATGAATTGAAAGCTTTCAAAGTTAAATTCCAAGTTAATTACATTTTTGGTCAGTTTAAATGAATTTCATTTCAAGTAGACGAAATCCCAAAAATCTAAAATTGAAAATATGATAAGATAAAATGTCAACGACCAGGAGATAATTTCATTAAGCTAAGAACTCGAAAAGAACTCTTAACACACTTTAATTGGGAGTTTTTGGTTAATACTGAGGACTTGCCAACAAGAGATACGTCACTTATTATAAGGTTTAAGAGTTAAAGGAAAAGAGGAAGAGAAATGGAAGAAAAGAAAATACCAGAAATGAAGTACAGCACACTTCACCAATAGTACAGGTTAAGAACTAATGTCCTCAACAAAAATCCATCCAGCACCATTGAATTGCATACAGAGGTATGGCCATTAATGTGGCCCGTCGCGTTAAACATTGTTTCTAAACACGATTGCACGTTCTGTTGGTTCATTGTTTTTTCTCACGTGGGTCGTTCATCCTTTGTGTGGTCATTTGGTGGGGTAGTGATCGTGGGAGATGTTTTTTTCTTCTTTTAAACAGGATTTGGGTCTGTTGATGAGGTTTGCCGTTGTCTTGATGAAGGTGACGTGCAGTATAGGGTGGAACGTGATAGTATGCTCATCTGACTGTGAGTTGCGACGTGCGTATGGGTAAAATTATGCGTGCGTGAAACTTGCAAAGTGTTTCCAAGATAAACTGCAACAATGTTTAATGGTAACGATGGCAATCTGCTAATAACAAATTATGCAATATGTTGCATGAATGTATGCATGCGTGCATTTTAACACATGGAAGAAAATATATCCATGAGACTTAGACTTACATCTATTTTTAGGTATAGATGTAAATGAAGTGATTTTTTAATAATGTATTCGTTGAATTAATACTATGCTTACTCAGATTTTTTCCCAGAATTTTCTTCATTCAAGATTTGCAGTTATTCACGTTTTAGTGCAAAAATTTTTTTCTTCCTTTTTTCTTTATAAAATTCATATTTTGTTACTCGGTCTCGAACTGTTTGGCATATTGCATTAGACTGGTGCATATCTTATACATTCTGTTACTCTCACTGTGCTTATTAAGATGCAGTTTGGATGTTTATAGGATAATATTATAACTTAACGTGAGCATACAAATCTGTTTGATGGAGCAGATGATTTTAAAATTGCTTGAAATTGACATATTGTACATACGGCACTTATTCATATGTGGCATAAAAACGCTTGTCAAAAAAGCACCTTTGTCATAGTCGTTCAAAGTCTACTGATATATAATTCCGAAACATATATGGAAACATATTATGTGTATTTCTGAGCTAACACAACATTCTTATGGATGTAGATTCAACAATAAAGATATAGGATTTTTTCTTATTTCAAGACGATATATAACTAAACCCAGTTCATTGGATAGATCATTTAGGCTATATGGGTCAGGGATGTTGGCGGCAGATCTACGGGAGCATTCCTCGAAGTCATGCTTGAAAGTGACATTGTGTTGCTTCCTTAAACCTCTGACAATGTTTACGGACCTTTTTGCCGGAATCTCAAATCTTTATGTTCAGTTCAGATTAAAAGGCATGTCATGTTTTTGCAGTAACTTCAAATGATATTTTAGTGTTTAAGTTCGAGACAATTTACTTATGAAATGCTGAATACGAGTTGTATACATAGCCTATTTTATGCTATTTTGCAATGTAATGTGATTACAGAAATTTCCTTCTTTATATAAATCTATTGAGAATTTTGTGCGCAGTAAAACTGGACGGGATTTTTTTTCCGGCTTAGTTTTCGAATATTTTGATATTGGCTTAGTGGGCATAGAAAGTAGTAGTGCAACAAGTAATAGCTGATAGGTAAACGAAATGTGCCTTTGTAGATATTTTGAAATTATGTTATGCCAGTGGTCATGTATGAAGGCTTATATTTGATCCCTACTTTTCCTGAAGGGCAACAATACCAATTAAGGATAGTCAGATTAAGGGTATGTACAAAGTCGGAAGTTTATGGAGGTATTCGGTAATTCGATCCTTCGTTGTAAATCTTTAATGTGAGTTTTACAGAATACTAAAGCGTTTTAGATTCTGTTCAGCTGCTACTGATTTTGATAAAACAGCATTATTATTTCACAAATGACCAACAAAACCGAGTCACAGAGTGATCAGTCCTGGAAGGAGAATCTTAACCTACCAGCCAAAGATTTACGTTTCAAGACAACGGTTAGCATGTTTTCACTGTTGGACCACTTCAGTAGTAGTTTTATATAAATTCACTATAATTCTTAAATGGTTTTTAGGATGTGACGGATACAAAAGGTATTGAATTTGAGGATTTTTGCTTGAAGCGACCATTGTTGATGGGAATTTTTGAGAAAGGTTGGGAAAAGCCAAGTCCAATACAGGAAGCATCCATTTCAATTGCATTATCAGGTAACTTGCTGTTCGATGTGTGAATTTTTTTTTCAGTTAGTGATGGTAGTTAAGGATTTGTAGAAAATCCTGTTTGCTGGGAAATCTAAGAAAATCAGCAGTGGAAGAAATAATTAAAGGGAATTCCTATTCGATCTTTTGTGATAGTATTGCGTCTTGTGGCTTTGAAAAGTTCAGAGAAATTTTCAGGTCAGGATATATTGGCACGTGCAAAGAACGGTACAGGTAAAACAGGTGCCTATTGTATCCCTTGCATTGACAAAATCGATGTTGAAAAAAAATACCCACAATCATTGATCATTGTGCCGACCAGGGAGCTAGCATTCCAAACCTCTAATATTTGTGTCGACTTGAGCAAACACTTGAATCTAAAGGTCATATTTTAATTAAATAATTGTTGACTGTAAAATGAAGCGAATAGGAGACGTTCCAGAAACCATAAGTGTGGGATATTGTTGAGTGGCAGAATGATTTGTAGAATGCTTTGTATTATTATAATAATGTTATAACCATTACAGTAAGCTGCGGAAAAGAAATGTGAAACGGGAAACTAATTTTGTTTATTTGTTTGCAAAATTCCAATGGTTTTGTTTTTAAAAAGTAGTTATTAATTTTTGATAGTAGCCGTTGTAGAATGCTTTGTATTTGGGTCTTTTCTGATGATCTGGATGTTTATGCTTAACATGTCGTATACTTGCAACTTCTTCAAATGAAGACAATATTGAATAACTGGATATTCTACATAATGGCTCAACCCTTGGTTATTTTTCTCAATCAGAAGACTTGCCCTTTAGAAGTTCAATACAATCTATGTTCATGTTGGTGTTTTTTGCATACGAATCATGAACATTTACTTTAGGTAATGGTTACTACGGGAGGCACGGAACTTCGTAACGATATCATGCGTCTGAATGGTACCGTTCACATCATTGTAGCAACTCCTGGCCGTATTCTTGATCTTATGGATAAGGTATGACTTCATAAGTTTTCCGACCAAAAGAACAGATTTCGGAAAAATTTTTAGAAAAAGAAAAAAATGTTTTAAAAAGTTTTTAAAGTCTAGCGAAGCAGTGCACTATACGACAGATCCAGGAACTTTGTCTTGCCAAAGACCACATGTTGATAAATTATTCTTGCCACAACGAATTACTAATTCTGATGACACTTTTGTTATCAGAGACAGTCTTTAGGCAACTTGGTGTTAAGTTGGAACTGAAATTTGACATTCACCATTTTAATTATTATCCAGTAAGTCTGAAATCTTTTTTTTTTACGATTGGGAAGTAGCATTTATATTAGTTCTTTTTTCAGAATGTTGCTGATATGTCGCATTGCACAACACTAGTATTGGATGAAGCTGATAAACTTCTTTCTCAGGATTTCCAAGGCATTTTAGATCGTGTCATCAAATTTCTACCACCTGATCGTCAGATTATGCTTTATTCGGCAACATTCCCTCTGACAGTGGCAACATTCATGCAGAAGCACATGAGGAATCCGTATGAAATTAATCTGATGGAAGAACTGACACTGGTTGGTGTTACGCAGTATTACGCTTACGTGCAAGAGAAGCAGAAAGTTCACTGTTTGAACACGTTGTTTCGTAAGGTTTGTTGCATTTTCATATGTTCTAAACCAGACTTAGAATTTTAGTGATGTCACAGTACAGAAATTTACTTGGTTGAAATTTGTACATTTTCCGAATTCACCTAGTTAAACTGTTGCTATTTTATCAATTGTATGATCAATTTTTTTTTTTTTTTTGTATGATCATATGATCAGCCATAGTTGAGTATCTTTGATTTCTTTTCAGCTTCAAATCAACCAGTCCATAATTTTTTGTAATTCAACACAACGTGTGGAGCTTTTGGCAAAGAAAATCACAGAAATAGGCTATTCCTGCTATTACATTCATTCACGCATGGCACAGGGTCATCGTAATCGGGTTTTTCATGATTTTCGTAAAGGAGCTTGTCGTAATTTGGTCTGTTCTGATTTGCTTACTAGAGGTATCGATATTCAAGCAGTGAATGTTGTCATCAATTTTGATTTTCCCCGCAACGCCGAAACATATTTACATCGTATTGGCCGGTATTTTTTACTCTATTTCTTGAAATTTTTGTTTTGTATAAGGATTTTGATACCATATCTTACTAACGTTCTGTCACAAGTGTAATGTTTTCAATTAGAATTGGTCCTTTTGCGATTCTAGAGTATCATTTCAGTTCATTTATGCTTTAGAGAATGAAATGAAACGATAGGGTTAGTTTATTGCTAGACTAAATATTTTTAATTTGTCAATGTATACTATAAAAAGTGTGTTTCATAACTGATAATATATAATAATGTTGCTGAATGATAATAATGTTTTCAGTTCGGGTCGTTTCGGACATCTTGGTATTGCGATCAATCTTATCACTTATGAGGATCGCTTCACTCTTCGACGTATTGAAGCTGAGTTGAGGACTCGCATTGCTCCAATTCCAAAGGTTCATTCCTTATTGTTTTCTTGAAGTCTTTTCCAAAATCTCTTTCTCCGTTTTTACGAGAAAATGTCCAGGGTTGTCTTAAATTCATTATTATACAGAAATTCGTTTTCTCAACGGGTGCAAATTAAGCACTGTTGCCGTTTTCAGTCGGTGGATCCGAAACTTTATGTTGCTGAGTATCAAATCGTTGATGAAAATGGTAGCGAAATGGTTGGATCTTCCAAGGAGACGGCTGCTTAAGCGGTGAGTAGAAATATTTCCGCAAAATCATAATTTAGATCTTATTTGGCTTTGTGAGGTAAAGTAAAGAAGCTGTAATGAAAAAATAGAAAGAAAAAAAGAAATGAGCCAGCAATTTCGTGCAGCAGAGAAATACACCAACCGGTTAACAAAATAACCTCAAGTTCGATTATGCATCCAATTGAAAAGGAAGACAATTGCTTAACGAACAGTTTCTGATGTTGAGCTATATTTGTAAATTATTTTCTATTCCAGGTTTTGTGAAGGTGCTGCGTTTTTCTCGTTTTTATTTGATCTCTTTACTTTCGATTTATTGCGTTGTTTTGATTTATCTTATCATTGCTATATGTGAGTCTTTCATTTAATTCATTTATTTTAATGCAATTAGCTAGTTTTTTTTTTCTGAACTGAAAACATATTAAAAATAAACTTAAAAAATTGAGCTTAAAGTGTGGAATTAATTTATAGCATCAGAAGCTTTTTCTGATCCACTCATGCATTTAGGTAGTGTTTTTTGTTGTTTGTATCTGAGTAGTTCTGTCTATCCTTTATTATAAATTTTACAAAAAAAAAAATCATTCTTTATAATAGTTTTTAATTTGAAGTTGATTACAAATTTTAATAATATTTGGCAGTTAATATATCTCGGTAATAAACGAGTATTTTTTTTTTCAGGTTCATATTTCAGTTATTGCGCGTTACTCGTCTTGAGCGTAAAAGCCGGTTGTATGTGCATATAGTTTTGTTTTTAACTTTTTTTTTTGATTTTTAGTCTGTCTAATATTTTGTTTTTTGATTCCACAGTTTTTACTCGTTTAATTTCTGTTAATCACCTTGTTCATTATCGTGTTTTAATTATACACATTAGTTTATTATATTTGATAACTTCGGGTGCTATTATTGTCAAATTTCTTTTTTAAAAATGTAAGATGAGAAATTTTTTGCCCTCAATCTTTCCGTAAAAAGGCTTCTGAACCACTGAGGGCGATTATAATAGTAAAAAAAAAGTGAAAAACTGTAATTTTAAGAAAAATTCATCTAATTATATTTTTGAAGGTGTAAAGCCTTTATCTTATGTAGCCTTCTTGATCGCCTCAGTGCAGCACATTTTAACAGATGTGAACAGTATGGAAGCAGAAACCAATCTTCCGGGCTGGTTGCTTCCTTGTTCAGGTAAGTGGTTTTCTGAGATTCTTTTTTTCTTAACTTTTCTTCAAATCAGGTTTTAAAGAGCTTGAGTAGTTCAGTCAGTTGATATATCTAAGATTTTACTATAAAAGTTCGTTGGTTTAAAACTTTTTCGTTGTCTAGGTCTACAACAAAAAGTCTTTAACTTGATGCTTTCGTGCGTTTTCTTATATGCTTATGCTTTATTCATATTCCTTCAGCATTTTTTTAATGAGTTTCTTTTTTTTTTCAGGTTGTTTGGTTATGTTTTATGCTGTTAATGCCGTGAGCCGTTTACCATCCCCGGCTCTTGTCAAATAGTTCCTTTAATAATACGGCATTTTGTGTTTTATAAATCATTATTTTATAATTTTATTTCATTGTTTTTCATTGTTCAGTGTTGAGTTAGGCATGTTAATCGCACCAGTAAAATAGAGGATCGTTTATTCCTTGAGTTAACGGCCTGGTTATGATTTCTTCACTGCTTGATTACCTCTTATATAAATGATTGGTTTGTTCGGTGTAGGCAAAGTGGGTTTTCTATTAAATATCGTATTGGGGAGAATCTTGTAATAATATTTGGCAGATATACTGTAGCAACTGTTTATTCTTTGTGAATCAAATTAAAAAAGGTCACTAAGATTTCCGCTAAAATGTGAATTTTTTCTGAAAACATTTTCTATGGTCATTTTATTTGATTTTTGTTTTTAATTCCACTCGCTGAGCCGCAAATCTCAATATCTGTGTATTATGGTTTTACGGAAATGCGGCTTACAAAACCTCTTGGATGTTTTACTTGGCATCTTATATAGAAGCCGTCGCTGTCTCATTAGGTATAATTTCAAATTCAAAAGTTTCTATTGTTTGCCTTTTTCCTTTCATTCCATCACCAATCTTCCCTATGTTTGTTTTCTCCATTATCCTTAGTTTTTCGACTTTCTTATATTCCTTTCTTTTTTCCATTTCTTCATAGTCGTTCTCTGATTAAATGACTTTTTCTGGACTATTCTAGTTTCTGTTCTCCTTACACTGTTCTCTTGGATTTATGAACCTCGCTTTGTTCAAGTAATGTATTTGTCACTGATGGAAAATTAAGGTTAAAAAAAAAAAAAACGTAGCGCCTGCATTCATTCACGACTTTTTTTGACAAGTGTTTGATCGTAACAAATAAATTATGCGCTACAGACGTGTTTGCTCAACATATCAGTCTAGTGTTGACATGTCCAAGTTGGATCACACGTTTAACGGGAATCTATAAAATTGCGATTGCTCTTACAATCTGATTTGTCGCGTGATCCACTTCTTGTTCAGTGGAATCTGGGTCGGCATTTCCTACCTTTCCTGGTATCGTCGGTACAAGCTCCGACAAATCTAAGCATTTACCAAAAGAGGAAGTGTCGTGAGACCCGAAGCTTAAGCTTTTCTTGGAAATGAAGGTTTTCGGGAGGTTAAAGATATAAGGGAATGATGAGTCTAATTGATAAATAGGGGCTAACTACAGACTCGTCATTTTTTGGACCATTTTTACTAGTTAATGGTTGAGGGGAATGGCTGCTGGTGTGGAGATATCCATAGATTATGCTGATCTTTTTGGGAAATGAACGTTTAACAAAAGTCTATTTGTTATCCGAAATTTTTCAAGTTCTTTGGAATTTGTCAAATATCGAATTGCAATTCACACATTAATTTTCATTTCAGAAAAAAACCTGAACAATTTAGAACTTAACAAACTGACGACACAAATGCAGAATCAATGGACACTAGTACCTATGATTCAGGCGATTTTCCTATACGATTGCATAACATCAAGAAATCTGCTTCACTTGAAAGTAGGCTTTGTGCTTAATGTAGATTACGAAAGCCACAATCCCAAAGTTGTAAAAACCTGCATTCATATTGAGCAATTAGAGAATAAACAAAAAACAAAAGTGCAGAATATCAGTTCTACTTCAGAAATCTTTGGTACGAATCAATTAATCGTTTCCGGATATTCGGCAGCAGCCTGATATGGTCGTCAACACAGGAACATGCACAACTGTAATCAGTATTTCAGTGTTTCCCGAATTCTTACAATTGAAAAACTGAACAGAAATTTTGGAACCAGAAATTTTAAGATCTGCACAAAAAATCAAACCAGTAAATGACTTTGGATAAAAACGTCCAAGATGGAAGCAAATACAAAAACTGGTTACTTTAATAGTTGTTCATCAAATTCTTTGATTTGGATTTCAGTATACTTTGCGGGATCAGGACCAAATTTCTGCGTCGCTTTATCGAAACATGTCATTCCACAACGATTCAACTGTGCCTTAAAATGATTTTAAAGCCATTTAAAGGCAATAATTTTGGAATAAGACTAAAAATGCCGAATTAGTCCCAAATATTTTAAAGAGTAACCGAAATTAATGCGATGGTGTGTACAACCACTGAAATATTGAACACTAATTTCCATCAGTTAAAGAAGAAACGAAATGCTATTTACGCTTCCCAAGATTTTTATTGTAAATAATTTCTCTCTTGCAATTTCTCTCTCTTGCAACTCTCATTAAGTCCTCTAATGCTTATATATCGAATTCATAAAATCTGCTCTGCCTGAAAAAAATTGTAGGCACCCAATATTAAAACTTAATGTGGTTACCTGTAAATTGTCAAGTTCTTTTTGCAAAATTCCAGTAGCACTTTTGACAGATTTATTGCAATCTTCAACACAAGTCTCCACAATATCTCGATTCATACTCCTATCGTAGCAGTTTGATGAGCAAACGAACATTTTCTTATGAATTCCTCTTAAATAACTGAAAAAAGGTCATTTTTAAATGTAAATCCCTAATTCTAGAAGTATTTCCGGAAAAATCCGAAAAAAAAAGGGAAAATAACGGTAGCAATTGCATTTGTCGCAAAAAAAGCCCGAAAGAGTTCAAATTTTAACTCATCTCTAGTCGAAAAATAATACAATCCTATGTTTCCACCACCTCAAATGAAATAGGAGTTGGAGTGGGAATTAAATTACCTAATGAAATGGATTCTTTTTCAAAAAAGAAAGATGAGAACTTCGGATTTTTAGACATACAAGCATACAAACATTCAACAATACATTAAATGTATTAACATGAATATTTGTAATAATACAGATATGTTGTTGCTTTATATTCTTTTACACGTAGAGATGTCTCATTACCATCGTAATATGGTGTCTCATCTCATTACCATCGTAATATGGTGTCTCATTACCATCGTAATATAATATATAGACAATTTGTCAAATGTATAAATAGCAAAAGTTGCAAATAATTCTATCACACTATACAACGAAGTTCTCTTTTAGTTTTTCATTAAGTATGCATAAGCATTAATCAATTTAGTGGTAGAGTCATAAGCATAGTGTCTGATGAGTAAAAGCACTTATGTGTATATATTATATAGAATATAAATATGCATATTACCTTTGATCGATATCATCAATTAATGCATCTACTGCTTCTTTCATACGTTTCTCTGGTAAATTCATATCGTTAAAATCCACACAGCTAATTTCTGATATATTATATTAAAAGTAATTTTTGCAAAGATACTAGCCTGAAAAACTTTTATTACAGCAATGTTACAAACGAAAACTTCTCACAGTTATATACAAAGAATAACACAAAGCTCACTTTACACTCTCAGTTCCCTCTGTCATAAGAAAACCAATTCTATAATTACGGGCCGTATGTCGAGTCGTTAAAATGACTTCGTTGCTTTGCCATAGAGTTAAATGCTGATTAAGCGATTAATTAAGATTGTTGTCGGCTTTGTTTGTGTAGCACTGGAATTCCGGGAATACGTTGGAAATG